CCAGTACTGCCATGAACTTTAACATTTTACCTGCCAACTGCTGCCTGTAGAAAACCTTTTGCAGGTTCCTAATCACTAAGCGTTGCATCGTCTGACCTTGGAGTGACATCCACTCCTGGGAAGATTGATGATTATGCTGAATGTGTCCCACTTTCTAACTGTTTAATGATGGCCTCCAACTAGTTTAGAAATGGACTTACAGGCCATCTAACATTGGCAGGCAGCTACATCTGATACAAGTTGCTGATGATCACTTCAGCAAATGCCTCTGATTTGCTTCTTGCCCCCTCAATTACTATGGAAACATAGAGTTTATTTTGTAGTGTTCTGTGGTTCCCTTTTAATATTTAGTATAATTCCTTTTTCTTTTGTACCTGGTCTTTTTCATGTCCTGATGTTTAAAACTCCAGGATCCAAATTGACTGAATAGGTTAATCTGTGGTAGAGAAATTTCGTTTGTTTTTTTTTGCCATCGATTAACACTGAGTCTTCATACCAGGCCAGCAGAAGCGGTACTGCTCTGTTGCTATGCAGAACCCACCGAGCACTTGAACACAGTGCAGCACTTTGCTTTGGTCCAGGGGAGCAGCGTGATGAGATTCAAATTAATTCCGCAATGGTCCAAAATTCTGCCTCCATCTCCCTCCTGCTGGGACACGTTTTATTATCCTCAGCCACACCCACACTGTAGTCCACTCTGCACCGGCTGACTTGGGGATCAGGAGGGAAAAACGCACTCAAAACAGGACAGAGATGAAGGAACACGCCCTGTAAAGCAAAGCCACACAGCTGAGTGTGAACCCCCTCTGTGGAATATGCTACAGTGATTTAAGGATGAAAATCGGACTCGGGGTTTGTGTTCAATTGAAAGCAAAGCCATGTTCCTGTTAGGGCCAGCGTGGATGCAGCTCGTTCTGCGTCGCCTTCTCGCCTCGTGCTTGTTATTTTGGAGCCGTGGTGTGGCCGCCTGCTTTGTACTTCACGCATGGCTTCAAGTGGCGGGAGCTGGAGAGACTGCCATTCATTTGTCTTTGTGTTTGTGACCACATGCCTCCTAAATGCGGCATTCAATTATCTGTATAACAAAACTTTCTCCAGCCTTGTTCTTTCTCCAACAGCGACAAACCAAACCAGCACTTTTGCCGATAATTGTTTTTGTTTTTTTGGTCCAGGAAATTGCCGTGGTTCTGGGTTCTTAGAGTCCTAAAAAGACTTCTGTCCACCTGATCAATCAAACTTTTTCATGTAACATTTCTCTAACTCGGATTCATTTGCGACAGTAACAGACATGGTCCTTCTCAATGTTCTCAGAAAATATTCACAAAATGATGTATGTAGTCGTTCCAAATATAGCCAAATGGCGTGGGTATTTCTGAGCTCTGTCCAGGACGGGCTTCAGTGCTCTTCCAGAGCTTCAGTGTTTGCATCTGCAGTCTGAGGCACTCCACTAAATTCATGGCACCCAGAAATAGGGGCAGAGCTCCGTGTGCTTCTGTCCGACCACACTGTTCCTTGTCATTCACTTCTGACTGTTTTTTTAGGCGTGCGTCTTTCCCCGACGGCCCCATTATGGTTCTGACGTTTCAGCTCATCGGTGTGTCTCCGTATATTAGAGCAGCTCAGTGGAACGCAGGATTTGTATTGATTGCCGCTGCTCCCTCCGTTACGTCCGCTGTACAGCTTAAACTCATTAGTGCCAGGGCTGATAAATGCGTTTGCTGCCTTGTTGTGTGTTCAGAAAGAGGGGACAGCCAGTACAATGCACCAGTGAGCCAGCCGGCCAAACAACGGGAAAGCACAGACTGACAGACAGCCAGGCAAGAGGCTGCCAGGCTGAGTATTCATACAAGTTTAATGAGCATCCAGACAGTGGGGAGTTTGTGGCTCCTGCACAGAGCTCTCTGTACACACAGTCTGATGAGGTTAGACACACTAATGGAACAGGTGGGAGTCTGACGGTTCGACCTGGGTCATGAACACAACTCGAGTTTGAGAAGAGTCCACAATTAATTAAAAATGTTTGGATTTTACTAAGAACATTCTCCATATGGATGGCTCAAGCAGTTAGACACCAGTCAGAGATGTTTCTAGCCAAATTATTACAAAGCTCAGTCCCAGAAGAATTCCTCCTTCAAATATAATATGCTATAATCCCTCTCTTTGAATGATGTATTCTCTAGAAGCCCGTCTATATTTTCCTCAAATTTGAAAGACTGTTTTTAATTGGCTGCATTCTTATGATTAGAGCTTACACATTGCCTCCCGAAACCAATAGGACTGCAGTTCCATTAATGTTCACTGAACATGTTGAGAGGAAGAGTCTGCTGGTGTATTTTTCTTCAGGATTTACACACGATCTTCTCTATTCAGGATGGAAGACATGCTTTAGATTGCAGCGTGTCAAACCAACGGAGCTGTTTATGTTTACATTGTGTAACATAATTCTCATTTCATCCGAGTCAAGCTTGGCTCAAAACCTGACATGTTGCAGCAGAAACTTTATTTATATATAGCAATGACTCAGCAGACACTTTTTACAATGCAAACCAACATCTGAACTCACCCCCTGAGGCAGATTCTTATGGAGCTTTGGTGAGCCACGGGTTAGCGACGCCGAGTGAATTCTGTAGCTTTAAGCGCTGCATAAAAGATAAACTCTTTTTTTTCTCGTTTTCTGTAAGGGTTTTTTTTGTGCTTGTGTAGACGCACAACAGCAGAAGGTTTAGAATTCAGCCTCAGCTGGGCGATCTATCTTCCGCATCATGTTATGGATGACGTAACATCCCTTCCAGCAAATGCTGAGACGGTGTCACCAGTGAGGCAGCTGGAGTTCAGGAGGTCATATGAGGTGGCGTTTGTGATGCAGCTGACAGAGGCATCCTCTTGCAATCTTATTTATTTATTTATTTATTTATTCATTTATTGATTGATTGATTGATTTATTTGAGATATCCTCGTTTTGATTGGGTTAGGTACTTTCCTGTGACTGTTCCGGAAGGTGGAGGCCTCTGCTTTTGGTGCCTGGTCTGCCCCTGCGACTTCCAAACAGATCCCGATAACACTTCTGCTGCTTCTGGTTGTTTGTTGTTGTTGTTTTCTGCCCTTCAAAAGACCCCGAACGCAGACCCACACGCAGTCGGGCTCTGCATGTGCAGCCTCTGCCGATGACATGGCTGTAGCTGCCACTTTTCTCCAGCTCTACGTCCACTGTTGCTATAGCAACACCATGGTAATGAGTCTGAATTCTAATGATGCCTCAGTGGGTTGTTCGAGGAGTTGAGATGTCTCGGGACAATGAGTGGACTGGTGGATGACGCTGGTGGGGCTCGAAAGGCTTCGTCGCCATTTGACCCGCGCTGCTGTTGGGACAGGTCCAGATGAAATGTTCCTTGTGCATGGATGTTGTTACAAAGTGCCTCCAGAGCTGTCAGAACCTTGGGTCATACACATGAGCTACTTGGCTCACCATTTTTGTTCAGTATAATTGGATCTCATTTACAACGTGTTGATAGCTGCTGTTTATTTGGCGAAATTCTAAAGCAGTCATGCATATGTGGAGTTAGGATTTCGGAGAGGGCTTCTTCTAATTTTATGGAATCTCATTACCTCCTGACGGAGGAGCACCACCGCTGCAAAAACTCATTTGATTCTCGTGTGAATATGAGTGTAAAGCCTCCAGAATATCAATAGACTTTTTCAGTCAGATAAGCCTCTTGTCTTTGCTGTCACTCATTAGTCTCAAATATTACCTCCCAAAAGTTTCCTCAGCTCCCTTCCGTGATTGTGGACCTACCAAGCTCCACAAGAACAGCAGAGTCCCTGTCTGTTTTCAAGAAACTCTTGAAGACCCACCTCTTCAAAGAGCATCTCCTATCCTAACCCTAACCCGTACCTCTACCCCCCCACAGCTCCTATCCTAACCCTAACCCGTACCTCTACCCCCCCACAGCTCCTTCTGTAGCCCCTCTACCTCTATCTCTATCTCACCACTGACTCTGATCAGTGTTTCTGTTCTATATAGTTTATTGTCATTGTGATGAGAAATGTAATATTGTGTCTACTCTGTAAGTCGCTTTGGATAAAAGCGTCTGCCAAATGCATAAACATAAACATAAACATAAACATAAACACATTGTTTTTGTGAATAGTCCTTCCTGATGAGTTTTTTTTTCCTGAAAAGTAGAAAATAAGAAACTGTAAAGCTTCTCGAAGATTTTGGGAGATAGGCACCTGAAGCTGATTTCCCTCTGGTTGTCTTTCTGTTCACACTTTGACGCACAATCGGGTGAATGCTTAGTCAATATTTCACAGGACAACTTGTCTTACGGACAGAAGCATAGCTGTCCGCTGCATAAATTTGCACACCAGTCAAGGTATCAAACGAGTGACGAATCTGTGACGATGGACAATTCTCTGGTCTTCGTAGGTCTGCTCATGTTAGAAACTTAAGACAACCACTTCATCTTATCTGACATCAATCATGGTGAAATGATACGTTCTTGGTGAATTTCCGTTCTTATAAAGCAACTGTCAACACATGTGCAGTAAGTTCCACATTGCACTTTGTTGGTTTGACTACATTTTAAAATATTGTCAGTCATTTGTTGCCTTGTTTGTATTCTTTTTCTTTTCTCTTATCGGATAAAACAATAAATGCTCATTAAGCAGTGCAGTTGAATCATTGTTTTGTTCTGGGTTTTTTTGCTCAGTACAGTTACTCTTTTATAGGGATTGTTGCCTACATTTACAGTATTTTGGACAAAATAGTCCTCTTCCAAAGAACTTCATATTAAGATTACTTTTAAATCTACACCATTTTGTTAACGTTATTCATGGGAAAAAAATACAGAGTTAGGTTAGAAAACAGCTGGAATTCTGAACTGTAGCTTTTCGAAATGTTTGTCAATGGAAAGGTTTTCATTTGGGAATTATGTGTGCAAAGAGGTCAAAAAGAGGTTCTAATGTTTGTATGCAATCCTCATCGTGTCCTGTCTCTCATCCAGGCAACTTCCTGTCATGAAGTTCAAGAGGATGAGCCAGCGCTGGAGCTGACACTGTCAGCAACCCCAGCCTACGCCACTCTGCAACCAGACCTTCACCTCCCATCAGCCCTTTTTCTCTCCAGTCCAAATCCCAGTGCTTTGGACCATTTTGAAGAAAAGAAGCGCTGGACCTGCATCTGCATTCAGCCCTCCTGTCTGTCCATCATCGTGCTGGACTGCGTTCCTCAGTGGTCCTGCATCCTGAGGCAGAAGCTCTTCTTGCCACATTCCTGGCTAAGCACAAGCGCCCCGTGAGAGCTGCTGTCAACCAGGACAAACTCACAATCTGCCACCGTTATGTCCAGTCGACGTAAGGCTTCCACCCCCTGCATGATCCGGCCACAGGAGACCATGGTGGAGGCAGATGATGAAGCAGAGGAAGCACAGAGCATGGAGGTGCTCCCCGAAAAAAATTATTCTGCATTAGCTTCATGAAGTTATTTTCTTTATTATCAAATGATTATCTTGAATAACTTAATTTGACATAGCTACAGTAACAGTAGGTCAAATCAGTGGATATATTTCTCAAATCTTTGATTGCACATCTAATGACTCCATATTTAATTAATGACTTGTTCCTTCTCCTTTTTCCAGACAACAGAGAATCATATTCTGGATGGACCTGTGGACACAGACATATCTACACCAGAAGAGCCCTCTGTGGACTTGGATCCAAAGGACAAGACCTCGGAAACCCCCATCGCTCCTGACAAACCACCGACTGAACCACCAGATCCTTCCAAACCGCAGCGTAGACAGCAGGGAGGCTACGAGTGCAAATACTGTCCCTTCTCCACGCAGAATCTCAACACTTTCAAAGAGCACGTGGACGCCAACCACCCAAACGTCATCCTCAACCCACTGTACCTGTGTGCAGTCTGCAACTTCAACACAAAGAAGTTCGACACTCTGACAGAACACAATGAGCGATGTCACCCAGGCGAGAGCAACTTCAAGTTCAAGCGCATCAAAATGAACAATCAGACAATCTTGGAACAGACAATAGAGGGCTGCAGCAACAGTGCAGTCATTTACAACACTCCAGGTTCCACTCCTGGAAAAGGGGACGATCTGGGCGCTCTGCCGCAGAGCAAACCCAGCACAGTGAAAACTGCGAAACAGAAAGTAACACCAGATCACAGACGGACAGAAACACAGATGGGCAAACTGACGCCTGATCTCACCAAGAAACAAATCACAGCGGTCAATGTGAACGGGACCGTCATCATCCCGGAGTCCACCCTCCTCAAAACAGATGGCCTTTCTCACATCATGCCTTCCTTACAGCAGCCACTCAACTATACCCAGGTAGGACTTTGTGGATTTCTTTCTTTATTGTTTAGGCTATTTTTTAAGCGTTATCTGCTTCTTTGACAGCTGAAGCAATCGTTTTCTGAGTGGCGTTATAATATTGCGGAGTGGCGGTCTTCACTAGTTTGTGCACGGATTTCTCCTGGTCCCAACAATGCATTTCTGGATTTAGGACTGAAATTGATTTGACGAGAACATTGCAACACTTCTGTTCTTTTTTTTTTTCCCAGACTTTTTTTGTATTTTACTGCTCAATTTAATTCCAATCTTTAGCTGTCGGATATGTGGCCTCACATTCTATTAAAGTTCCTTAGCTTAGTATATAAAGAAAGGTTCATGGACCATTTAATAACTTCAAGGTGCTTAGGTCCTGCAGGTACAGAAGAAGCCCAAATCACCATTCCCCCACCACCACGCTGAGCAGTATGTATGAACTGTTTGTGCTCATATGGTGTATAGTTTTCTCCACCCCTTGAGAATCATAAAAAAATCTTTTGTGATGTCTGTGTTAGACTAGTATTCAGTGTGCTAACTGAGGCCTGTAGAGTTAAGGTGTAGCTCGTAGGTTTATTGACGTCTCTCAGAGCATTGCACGTCTGACCTTGACGAGAATTCCACTTCAAAGCACTTTGAAATATTCTAAAACATTTAGAATTTGCTGAGGCGCTGAGACTTGATGATTCATTGGTCTTAATCTCTAGAAGCAGCCACGGTGTGTACATGTTTTCTGATAATGGCTTTTAGCCTTGTTGGGTCAGGTATTGTTTATCTGAGGTTGCATTAGCCTCATTTAAATTGTATTTGGTCGTTATTTTTTCGTGGTCTTCTGATGCAGAAAATCTTTGACTGACAATGTAAAATTACCCTTTTCAGATGTGAATTAAAATAATATCCAGCAGACATTTTGATTAGTAACCAGGTGGAAAAGGCTATGATGTCTGTATGATTACTAGATTAATATTTCTGATGTTTCACTTGTATGGTGATATAACACAATCACTAGTAGCTTTAAATATGCCTAAGGGCTTTCAGTTCAGTGTCGCTCAAGGCGAAATATTTTTTCTGCACTTATCTATTGATTTAAATCCTGGTTCTACATTTACAAATGACCTTAAGTGAAAGTGGGTAAGATGCTCGAGAGTCTTAACAGTAGTGCCATATTAAGTGACTGTACAAAGTCTCTTGAACATTTTGAAGGGAGAACTATTTTATTTGGTGACAATTACAAGGATTAAAGTGAATGTGCCCTTTAGATACCTCTGAATTCTCTTATTCTAACTTGCTGCACATTAGGCTGGCAGATCAATTCCAGTAAAAAACAGAACAAAAATAAATCAAAGGACTTTCCAAGTATTCACTATCTTCTGTTCTACGTACCTTTTAGAGAATACATTTATAGAATATAGTGTAGTTCTTTTTTTAATTTAATTTTCTGTTAAAGTAGCTGGATAAAAATGATTAAATCACTTTGCAATTTGTATTTCTAAAACACTGACTAGGACAAGCCCAAATATGCATTGAGTTTTCAGTTCAAAGGGTTAGGATTACCCTCATCAACACAACATCTGCATCATGCAGTCCTGTGCACAGCTGAACCATCTTTAGAGGAGAGCAGTTTTATCTGAATCAGGTGTGTATAAGCATGGAAACCTCTAAAACCTGCAGGACAGCGGCCCTCGAGGCCTGGAGATGCCCACCCCTGTTATAGAAGCTGTTTAGGTGGGAGGAAACATGGACCCCTTAAAAAGGGCCGTCAGTGGAAACCACAGAAAGATTTGTAACAGCATAATTTAGTTCAAAGCGCAGAAAGGCTGTGTCTAAAATGTGGAGCCTGTTCAAACAAAATGGGAAGGTTGTAAAAGGGAAACACGCAGGATGACCAAGGAGCGGATCAAAGTGCGAGGAGAGAAAAGTCAATATTTTATTAATAAAAACAGAATAGGTAAAATTCTAATTAAATTTGTGGAAATGAAGAAAACATCAAATGAATATATGAACAGTGGGATTTATCCATGTGATGATGTATTTTTAATCTTCTCTCATGATTGAGAATTTTCAGAATGATTTATGTAGTCAGAATATCCATCAGTTAGATTTAGTCATATGTTTACTTTATCGATTTAAATAAAAATTTGATCATTATGCTGTTGAGGTAAGTTTTTTTTACAGGATAGCATAGTTCTTCAAGTTGAGTGTGTGTTTACTGGTTATGTCTCCATTACATTATGTCTGTTTGTGTTTCAGGTGCCGAAGATCGCAGTGCCCCTCAACACGACCAAATACAACCCCTCCCTTGACAACAATCTCACACTCATCTCTTCCTTTAATAAGTTCCCCTACCCAACACAGGCGGAGCTCTCCTGGCTAACCGCTGCCTCAAAACATCCGGAGGAGCAAATCAAAGTTTGGTTCACCACACAGAGGCTCAAGCAAGGCATAAGCTGGTCACCTGAAGAGGTATTATCTTGATAAATTATGCTTTTGCCACTCTGTTCTTCTCAAGCGTGAAGTGACATATTAATTAAGGTGGTGAAAGTATTTCCAATTCTCCAAGTATACAAGAATGAGTAAGTAAGGTGTGTAACAGATCTGTTCCTCCTCTGACAGGTGGAAGAAGCCAGGAAGAAAATGTTCAATGGCACCATCTCCTCCGTGCCTCAGACTTTGACGGTGGTTGCGTCAAAGCTGAACTCCCACTCATCGACCAACCATGCCGCCCACACCACGACGTCCAAGCCCCTGCAGCCGACGGCCTCTGTCCTCCAGTCCGTCTCCAGTCAGCTCCTGGCACAGACCAGCCTGGTCCTGACTCCCGTGGCCAACGGCTCCACCGTCACTTGCTCACCACTGGCCCTCGCAGTGGCTAGCCAGGTACAGAAGCTCAGCCTGAAAGCAAAGTCTTGTAGACCGCGAGGGGAAAAAATGCCACATAATAGTACTGATAGAATCAATCGGACCTGGCATGCAGCCTGAGTTGGGAAGGTCATCCTCTGTGTTTGCTACAGGTGGGGCAGTCGCTGAAACGACCTTTGGCCGCCCCTGTGATGGCCACAGAGATTAAACGGCCGTCTATCATTCAGACCATCTCTGCTCCCATGGCCACATCCAAGCCGGTATCACCCAAAGTGCTGAGTTTCACCGTCGATCACAATAAGACAGCCGAGCAGCTGTCGGTCCTGAGGTCCAGCTACACACAGTGCCCCTTTCCTGAGGAAGATGAGGTAAGAATAAGTGAGTTTATTTTTTAGTGTTTACCTAGTTTACCTAGTCACTAGTAAGTCTTCTCATTTGAGGATCGATCTAATGGCGTATCATATGGCAGATCTACAGGCTGATAGAGAACACCGGCCTGTCCAGAGGAGAAATCAAGAAGTGGTTCAGTGAGCAGAGACTTCTCAACCTCAAAAGTATGTTTTTAAATCAGTGCTGACACCATGGAAACCATATGAATGTCCCGTGTTGACTTTGCTTAGAAATGTTCTCCCCGTGTGCCTGTTTTAGGTGTACCTCCCCCACCTGTGCTGGTAAAGGCAGAGGCAACAGCACCTGTCAAAGATAGCCCCGTTAAGAGAGCAGTTCCCAGCCAGTTTCCCCTGCTGGAGCGGGTGAAGGGGAAGTCATCAGAGCAGCTGAAGGCGCTAGAAGAGAGTTTCCAGAGGAGCAGTTCCCCAACGCAGGCAGAGCTGGGTAAAGATTTCACCCCTTGGGCGAGAACATGACGTGAGGTGTTAAAACAGGAAACTGCAAGGAAAGAGTGGGAAGCTAAACTTGTGTGCTTACTCTGCTGCTTCAGCTGTGGAGAAGAAATGTGTAGAATTAAACAAGGTCATCTAAAAACCTTTTGGAGCCCCAGTGAAAACTCACTAGAGAACATTTCAGCTTTTTACTAACCACTCAGAGCCTTTTACACCACACTGTTTACCTGGTAGCACACTGAGCTTTTTCTATTTATTTCTTTATATATGTTCCATCCTGTACCAGTTGGGCTAATTGGCTGTTTGTTGTGTTCTTGTCATATTCAGCATCCCCACTTATGACTTAGTCGTTTAAAGAAATCCAGCGGCGTTTCTTCTATTTATACAAGCTCACAGCATGTGACGTGATTTTCTTTCACCCTGAAGGAGCAGTATGCCATCTCTGGTGGGATTCTGCATGACAGAAATAGCAGAAATGTTTTTAATGAGGCCCTCTTTTAACACCCCTGGAGAGACACTGAGGTTTCTTAAAGAGAAGCCCTCCACATGGAGGTAATACTTCTCATATGATTCACCCAAATCTCTTTTTTTTTTTTTCTTCTGCAGACCAACTGGCCCAGGACACCAAACTGTCAAAGACGGAGGTGGACTGCTGGTTTTCAGAGCGCAGGGCGCTGAGGGACAACATGGAGAAGGTTTTGCTCGCTATGGCTTCCAAGAACACGGAGGAGCGATTAGAGCGGCGGAGAGGAGCCGTGCTGAACGGCGCTTCTCATCGAGAGCCGGACGGGAAGCCCCTCCGCTCCTCACCCCACCAACCTGCCCTCTCCTTTCCCTCCGCCTCCCCTCCCGTCCTCGCCGTCTCCTCCCCTCAACCCCCAACCCACTCTTCGTCAGCCTCTCCTCCCGTCCTCACCTCATCGAGCTCCTCGTCACCAAATCCTCCCATCCTGTCCACCTCCACCCCAGCGCCCATCTCCAGTCACTCGCTGGCCCTTCTAAGGGAGGTAAGAGGAAATTCTGAAAGCCAGTCTCCCCATTAAATGTAGATATGCTTCTCTGGAATTTAACCACAGCCGCCAGTCAAATTAGTTTGATGGGATTTGGCATTGATCGCTTTTGTCATTTTCAGTCAGAGGTGTATTGTGTTTCATTAGCTGTGTCTGCACACCCTGTCCCGACAGATGTTTTGCCAGACCCAGTGGCCATCTCCTGAAGAATACAGCCAGCTGGAGGTGCAAACGGGCCTGGGACGCACGGACATCGTCCGCTGGTTCAAGGACCACCGCTCTGCCCTGAAGAACGGCGAAACTCTCGCCTGGATGGAAAGCTTACAAAGCCATAACCTTGTAGAGCAGCATAAAGCCGACCAGGAACGGAATGGCCAGATGTCTGAGCGAGACCAGAGTGTTGCTTTGGGAGTCAAGGCTGTGAAGGGTGAGTCCCCAGGGGAAGTGTTCATACTGTTCTTGTTGTATTGTTTTGTTTTTTTTTGTTTCCTTTAATGTTAATATTTCTCAAGAAGGTTCCACTATTTTTATCTTTGTTGATCCTACAACCCTGCATACAGTGGACAAAGATAGTGGGAACGTAGCAGCTGCACAGAACTCCAGACTGTCCGATCAAGACCAAGTGCCGTTGTGTACTGAGCGACTCACCCAGGGTGCGACGGACCCGAGCCAGACCAGACAGGACCAAACCTGCTGTAGTCCTGCTGACAAAGAGAGGTGATTTAAGAAAAAATGAGAAGCAAATGTTTCATTTTGTGCTTTTAAATTAAAGTTAGTTTTACTATTATTTGCTGCTAAAGGAAAATCATATGACAAAAGGAAGACGTTTTGCTCTCTTTGGAGGCATTAACTAGATTTCCAGTTAGGATTTGTACTATATTCAAAGTCGGAGACACAAAAATACTAATATAGAAGTTTGCTTTTTTTGGGTAGATGGGGGAGAGTGGCTGTGGATGTGGAAGAGGACACTGATGATGGAGTGGAAAGCCATAGACTGGCAATGGACACCGACATTCTGACTCTTGAGCAACCGGGGAGAGTCACCGGGTGATGGTGGGTTGAACAAACAGAGGCAGTGTTGTTTTTAACTGAAACCTGAAGGGGCTCAAAGTGCTGCAGTAAGAGCAGAACAATGATTTTCATAGCACCAGATGTTTAACATTACTGTCGCTCAACGGCTAATCAATAACCGAAGCCTTTTAAAAACCTTTTAGAAGTGCTTTAAAGTCAGCAGTCAAGTTTTTCTTACATCTATTTAACTGAGGATTAAAAGAAAGAAGTGAAATGTGATGGTTCCCACATGGATGGTGGTTGATATCCTGTGGCCTTTCCAAGTTTCTTTTGCTCTGCATGCTGGGATATGCATCACCCATCTGTGACTCTTTACAGCAATGGTTGTGGAGGGCGAATGAATGACATGAATGGATAAACTCTGAAAGCCTCAGCTTGTGTTATGGCTTGAATAAATGGTGAACTTTTCCTGTGAGATGCCACAGCTGCAGCCTCCAGAAGGCCAGGCTGTTATTAGTGGGTAATTACTCAGGATTGGTCCTTCATAAAGATGGTACACGCCATCATTAGCATCCAGCACTTATCCAGAGCCACTGGAGTAAAATGAACTCGGAACGAAATGTAAAAGATGGGTGATGTAAAAATGTAGATTTATTTTTATTGCTATTAATATTGCTTTTCCTTCATATTATTAACTCCCTGATTAAAAAATGATTGTTAGAGATTTTCCAGGTAATAACAGCTTGATGTATCTGTATCTGTTCCAGTTAAAGCTTTTGATTGAGGTGGAGTCATCAGCCACTTCAAGACGACCAAACTTTGAGCCAGTGATACGTCTGCCTGTGATGTCATCATAAAGCGCCAAGGACCGTTTATGTTCCAGCGTTGCAGCATTGACACGAAGTGCAGACACCGACAGGAAGGAGAGTGCCAAAGCTGGACTTGATGCATTGTTCTCACTCCCATTATGGGCTGTTCTTTCTCTCTTTTTTAAAGTACACCCCTGTGAATATTTTTCTGTATTATTTTAAAAAATTTTGTACAGTATAACTTGGAGAGCAAGTTTTGTTACATTCTGTTTTGAATGTCAACCCCAGACACAAATGTTTTTTCTTTTCTTTGTTTTGAAAATTCAAATTGTACAATGGTCTATTCGCTGAAAATCAGCCTTATGTTTGGGGTAATCGTAGATGAACTTGACTCAGTATGAGTACATTTTGATGGCACTTGCATTTTTTTCCCGTGGTAGTAATAGATAAATCCCATACTGGGCTGTTTCCAAACGCCTTCGTATTTACAGCGACGAGGGTGGGAATGACTCAGACGTGCTAGAGGGTTGAGCTAAAGGAGCCTGCAATCCAAACACAGCCTCGGCTCCACCGCTGAGAGTGGACAGACCACAACCACCAACAGCAGCAGTCCAGATGCCTGAACACCCTGAATTCTGTATTGTGTTTCCTTTTTTTTTTAACAGCTGCTCTTGGATCTCAGCATATGAGATGTGTTCATCGGGCTGAAGAAGTACAGAATGTTAACTTTTCCCGATATAGAAATGACAGATCAGAGAGCAGAAGGTCTGTTCGATTACACCATGCTGCCTTTCCAGCTTATACCTGACATTTACTACCAGCCTCGAATGACGAGGGCAGAGTGGTGTACAATTCCAGCTTTGTGTCTTGAAAGACTTTCTATATTTCTTTTGGCTCAAATATTACATGTAATTTGAATAGCCAGAGCCGTTTTGAGTCATCGGTTTTGTTCAGCTGTGGTCCGTGAACACTCATCTCTCTGTTTTTAGGTGGGGGGGCCCCTTTTCCAAGCTGGTTCTGTTGGCCTCTGTACACACTTTAGACGGAGGTTCATGAATGTCTCATACGCAGAATAAGAACCTTCACTGCTGATTTACTGACAACTGAAATATTTGGAATGTCACCGCAGCCAAAGCTGTCATAAACTTACTTGCATGTTCAACAATGACGATTTTTAACTCATTTTCAAAAGAATAATTCTTTAAAGGGATCTTTTATTTCTGGATCTTGATTCAAATCCACGCAATATCTGTTCCGGCTAGGAAAGCGATCTCGGCCTGTCATCTAGCCATGATCTGAACAGCGGGGGTGTGGCTGTATGCTAACTGCACGTCGGCTCCTGCTTTTTTACTTTCATGCTCGTACAGTTTTCTCTCTGGAGTACTGTACCTTTGGTTGAATAGTACAGAATACTGCTTGCATTTTCATTTCCTATTTTCAAGTCTGCTGCGATTCAATAAAAATACAATTAACTGTAAAACACTTCTTGCTCATTTGGTATAAATGGAACAATTAGGACATAACCATCAATAAGGGGACACTTTATAGTTGCCTACAAACACCATTTTGTACAGAGCAAGATACATGTGGTAGTTGGGGCAAGCATAAGACCTCTAAAGGCTTTAAGAAATAATATTTTAATTTTTCGATATTTGATTCTATTTGAATATTTGATATTTGAATCTATTTAATCTAACTTTTTCACATATCTAGAAGTTGAGAGGAGTAATTGATATTTAAATGGATGGATGGATGGACTACAATTATAAATCCAATGTTTTGCACAATGTTTACAAAGAGAAGGATGCAGTAATCTACTAACCAGATTACTAATCATATTATTAATAGTAGAAAATTATTCAAAATTTGACATTAGAATTTCATTAATTTTTTCTAAAAGTTTTAATTTAGGGGCGGTTGTGTCAGTTAAATGGAACTGGCAACTTGGCCTGGAGAGACCCCCTCAATGCTGAAAAGAATGGACTGTTTTTGGAGTAACATGAGTTCCCTTAAGTATTCAATTCTGTGTGCAGTACTGGCCTTCCTTCAGTCCATAGTATTCAACAACTGAAACCATTTTGCACCTTGTGACAATCAGACGCCGAGGACAGTTGAAAAATTCAGAGTATTAGACATTAGACTCTGACATTAGACAACAATGGGATGAAATTCCTCTTGGAGCCCAGATGTTTATAGTCTATTGTTAAAAGAAGAGGAGATGCCACACAGTGGTAACCGTGGCGATGTCCTAACTTTTTTCAATGCTTGTTCTGGCCACTCAATTCCACGAGTGAATCTTCTGGTTCTTAAAGCAGAGTGCCTTATCTTAAAATGTTCCCAGTACTCAAATTTTAATTGGTTGTACAGAACTTATCTCAAGTTCTCTTGATAAGCTCTCAGAGTAACAGCAAAAGCCTTGGCCTCTGTTAACCTGTATTTCCCACCAAATTCTTGTCAACCTGCCACTCTAGGACGGGATTCGTTGAGCAACATTTCAAAGCCTTGTATTAAGGAAACACTCAGACTCGCTCATCATTTTAATATACAACTGTTGTATTTACAAAAAAAGAAAAAGGACAGATCATCCATATTTACCTCATTTTGATTTCATCAGGTCTAATGACAGAAAAACATTCAGCCATGTGCTGAGGAGGCTCCAGAAAGAAAAAAAAAATTCAAACGCATGGAATTTCAGACCTGGAAACAGTGCTCCCTAAATAGCTTCAGCCATGTTCTGCTGAGGGATGGTGGATGGTGCTCTCTTAGTGCGTTGTAATTACAATGCAATCTGATATGGCATCACAGAGGGAGGAACACCAGGAAAAACCAGCAGCGTGCTGTTGCGAAGCTGCAACACCCTCACAGTCCTCAGATATAAAGATCAATAAAAAAAAGGATAAGGTCATGAGAAAAAGGGCGAGAAGGAGGAAATGAGAGGGTGGCAGCAGGATCATCACAGAAAAGAAACTATTTATTTGTTGTTGGTTTTTCTATGTCTTTTGGCAGAAAGAGAAGAGCTGGCTTTACTGGGTGAATGGAGCCTGCAGCCAGAGTCTGAGTCCTGCTGTGCAGTGAACTGTTAGTTAAAACACACACCTCCTCATATTTCATCCCATCGTATTCTTTAAAACATTAAATGGGTGCGATTCGAAACTGAAGTCGAGATTTTTATACCCTCGGAGGAAGGGGAGAATTTGAGGAAGCAAGGATTTTAGCCCCAAATGTCAACTGCCCGGCCTTTTGTTAGTGAGAGCGGAGGCGGGGCCGTCCCCCCCTCATTCACCCCCGAGGCGGAAGCCTTCTCCCCAGTTGTGGCGTCCTCTCAGTCCCCCCCCCGGCTGTTCTTGGGCAGCTGGCCTCCTGCTCGGTGGAACTCCAAAGCCTGACACTCCCCCCCTTGTGTTAGGGAAGAACCGATACCTGACAGGAGGAAGGAGATGGTGAGAGGGTGGCATTTTAAGAAGGAAAGCATTCATTAGGACTTATTAATGCCCTCCTGAGTTCAATGTCACCAACAAGCAACCGGTTGCCTTTAGACCCTTTAGAAGAACTTGCGTTCTGAAATGTTCGTGACTTGCTTTAAATGAGCACAAACTTACAAGAAGTCTGGCGTGGTGAGGAATGAGCGTCCTCCCAGGTCCATGGGGTATTTGAACATGAGGAAAAAGTAGAGGTGGCCCACCAGGTTTCCCGTCAGCTCATTCACAAAGCTAACAAAAGAGACAGAGCAAACTTCAAAACACACACACACAAAAAACTCTAAAGGTTTAATGTGTTCCGAGCAGTTGTAAAGCTGTTGTATAGATTTTTCAACTTTGCATTAATGTCCTATAATTAACTGGTTTAAGCCTAAAACCAAGCAAAGGGGGGTATCCTTCCACTAGTTGCACACCAGAGTGGAATTAAAAAAAAAACTAACCACTCCAGTGAAAGTTATGTAGAGCTAAAGAGGACAGCAGTCCGTTTGTTTGGAAGAAATAGAATATTTGTACTTACGACCCTCCGATGATGAAGTTGAAGACGAGAATGACCCACGGTAGATAATGTGCCTGGAACACACCAGCAAAGAGCCGATTCACACACTGGCAAGTCCAAAATATTTTAACTGTTTTCGTTTGTCCCTGAAAAATCAGCCATCCTTTTATTTGCTTACAGGATTAAAAAGCAACATTCATGGAGGTTACCTTGAATCTTGTTCCGAACCAGAAGGACACGATCATGTCTTTGTTAAACTGAGCCCAGACGTACAACACTGACATAATGAGGGGGATCATCAGCAACTGGAAGATATCAAAAGACAAAGTTTAACCAAAAAAGCATAGATACATTTTTTTTTTAATATATCCAACTTAGCGGCATGTCTAAAGACCTATAATTAAAGACGTGTCTTGTTCTTAACTCTGTAACTAAACTGAAGCCATTTTCTGGCGGGTAGCAGTGTGTAAAGGCCTGTGACACGTACACTACCAGTAAGCTTCAGGCTGCTAGTGAAAGCTTTATAATTAGAAGCCGAGTGAGCAAGTTTTTCAACCAAGGGGGCCTTTTCTTTGTGCCAACTTTATTCAAACTGGACTAAACAGGGCCAGGGTCCTAGAATTGCCAATGAGAAACAAGCCTTTCAGCAGGGCGTAGGAGGATTCTCACCTGCATGTTCATGAGCACTCCAGTGATCTGCAGGCGAGGAGTCAAGGAGAACAAGCTCGTGTAGCCACATTTGCACAGAAGATTCAAACGGCTGGCGACTAGACTGTGTTCTGTTTAATGCACCACTTAAAACCAGGACATGGCAGTCGCGTCTGCCTTTTTCACTTGACCATATCTGATTTAGGTGAATATTTGCACCATTTAAAATGATTTTTTTTTAAAACATTTTTTTTTAAAAAGTCACCCATTTCTTCACTTGAGGTGAAAAATATAAAAGCAAATGATAGCTATCCATATGATAGCATATCGGTACATATGAATGGAGGTTTTTCGAGTACTGCTCGAAAGAACTTCATAAGCATCCCAATAAGCAGATAATACTGAGCTATGGTCCTAGTAAAACAACGCAGAGGTGAAATGTGGGCTGGACCGTACAAATGCTGCTGCATGTGACCTAGATTAGGTTTCTCTGCTCTGCAGGGGTAGGCCGACGCTGGCCCACTGGCACAGAGCCACCCTGACATGGCACACTGCTGCAGAGCAGGAGAGAGAGAAAGAGAAGGGGCTACAGAGAAGACAGATGAGAGAGAAATGCAGAGAGGGAGCCAAAGAGAGTCGGTGTCAGGGTGCAAAACAAGGTAACGGAGACCAAATGTGAAAAAGAACAATTAAAACAAGTAAACAGTACTAACAATCTAAGATCAAATCGAATCTTAAAACTTTAAGATATCAGCCAAAGGATACAACAATGCAAATCCAGTTGAAGAGGAGCATGAAAACATAGTCTGCAGGCCTGCCATCAAATGCCCCTGAAGAAGACAAAAGGGAAATTCCTTTGAAGATATTACTAACAAAAGATAGTAGTTATAACAAGCCATTTTAAGTGACCGCATGTAGACCACAAGGTCTGTAATCTCACCTGTCTCTAGCCGAGAGGAGTAATGGTAGAGGAAATATAGGTTGACTAGGTAGAGAAACCCAGTGTTAGGGGTTATTGGGAAAAAAAGGGTGGCTGTCACAGGTCTCCATAGCTGGAACAAATAGAAGAAACATTAACGCAGAGGAAATAAACACTGTTTTATGGTTGATAAATAGAGCATATGAAGTGTGAGGGTCTTTTACAGATAGTGGAACAAAAAGTGGAAAAACTGCACAGTCATGGAGAAAATGGATGCCAGCTTTTCAATTTATTTCAACACAATACCTATTTCAGTTTGACAAAGAACATCCTAATCTTAAAAGGGACCAGTTACTACTGGATGTAGGATCATGGAAAGGGAGGAAGGCACTAAAGCGCTTTGAAAAACTGGCTTGATAAGATTATTTATACCTGATGCCTGATAAAGTATTCACGTCAAACTGTCTGATGTTAAATAGTTATTTTTAACCTTGAGGTAGGTCGCGTCACAGAGTAAAACATACAGCCTTAAGGATTCAAGTCAACCGGAAAGTCGTGCATAAATTTAAAATACTGTCTCCGGCACACGGAGTGTTCAAGATGACAGCCTGAAAAAAATGTACATTTCTGACAAAACAATTATATTATGTAAAAAAATAAAATAGTAAATGAAAAAGTTTTCGTTCTTTAAGTTTATAATGGTTTATGCATTTTTTGTTTTTGTTTTTTTTGTTTTCCGTGTGTCTCCACTGAGGAGCATTTTGACAACTTCCGGAAATCCTAACCTCTTACGTCTCGCCATCTAATTGGCTAGAACCTGACGAAGGCCTGTTAGCCACATGCTAGCCAACCGAACACACCAAGGCTATGCTTATTAACTACTGTTTGCTCCGACACACACACATACGATTGAGCCGAAGTCGAAAACTTACATGGAATCTGCTAAAAATCAGATCTGGAAACAGCAATAGATTTCTGAAATCAACCAGTCCCAGTTTCCCAATGAAGGGAACAGCAACCGAAGCAGCAAACCAGTACCGGGTGATTAAAGGGATGCTTCTGAACCAGTCACCGATCTCCGACATCTTTCCATAGGACACCTGCAAATGTATAAATACGAAAAAAAGGCCCCGTTTAAAAAATACAATAGATACCCCAAAAAACTACGAGCCGTCCTGCCGTTATTTAACAATTGCTCCACTGCTAAGTTTACATGACGTGGCTAATCACACGGAGCTAGTTTCACGCAAGAAGTCTTTAAGATGAGATAAGAAACATCCGCTTCAGCTTTTCAAAGTAAAAGAACAAAGCAAAACAAAAAAAGGCAATCTGTCTCATGGTTTTACAACTGCTGATACTATTTTATAAAGATAACCAACACATCGATTAAAAACAACGATACACTTAAAATATTTCTTATTCTATATTACTCCTGTTGAGCATAGTCAAGTAGATTGACCTTTAAAAAAAAAATCAGAATACATCGATGATTCTTTAACCTGTGGAATGGCATTTTAAAAATTGACGATCTGACAAATTGGTTGGCAAAAAATGTCAACAATACTGCATTCAATTTGTAAATAATATAGGGGTAAAAAGTAGTCTTTACATTCTAATCTCACATGTGATGCAAGTGATGCTTATTCTCTTTTTGGGATATTAGGATTGAAACTTTTACTTTAATTGCTAATAGGGTCTGCTATTATTTGACCGAACCAAAGGTGTTCATGGGACGTTCTTATTATGAAGGAAACGTTAAAACCGGATGCGTTTTAATAGAAACCCATCTACTTTTTAAAAATAACTTTCATAAATGTAGTACTTCCTCTGACATTTGCAAATTCGCCCACTTGACCATCCAGAGGACGCCAACAGAAAAAAAGGGCGTGTCCGCTTCAGCTCATATCAAGCCAGCACCTGAGAAGAGTGGAGATGCGTTTACAGAAAGAAAAATGGTTTTGACACCGCTAGTTAAAATCAATAATTAATTGAATAACACCACAATGCCAAATATTCTCCCACAATCGTTCAAATAGATCTTTGATTTTTTTTTTTTTTTTGTAGCTTGACACGTAATAATCTTATTTAGTATGCCTTCTGATGCCAAACAGCACAGGCCTGGCTTCAGCATTACAAATGTCACCTAGCATCTGCTGACCACTCATATTGTGGCTTGTGAGGATCAAGGAAACCTTTCTAATGATACTCTGTTGTCCATTATCAGTGAATATGTGACCTCCGATACTTTAAATACACCACAGAGCTGCGTGTGCTGGTTGGGCCAGACTCAATTGGGACCTCAATACCAGTACCTCAGTTTCCTATGGCCTCTTCTTTCACTGAAATCCCTCTCTTTGGCCATCTTGAACAAGCAAAGCAGCCTGAATCCATCTCAGTAATATAGGTAATAGTGCAATTTTCTCTTGGACCCCATCTCATAATCCTGCTTCAGTCTTACCTGGCAAAGATGTTTGTATTAAGTCCATCTGAGACTCTGTTGTGGTCTCAGCTCCGCCAGCTGACAACACCACCTCTGATGAACCTAGTGTCACCACCACACAGCAGGGTACCCTGACTGTCATTGAGCATGAGATCAAAGCAAGTGCTGGGTGTGAACTCTCCGTATTTAACTGGCTTTTGTGGTGTTCTGTCCTGCCTGAAGATGATGGCTAAAAAGTAGTAATTCGTTTTTTTTTTTTTGCTTGCATTCTTTATTTTCATATTGACTACTGACTATTGCATTACTAAATAAAAGAGCTCAAACATAGTTTTTTCTTTTTTACTAACTATAGAAGAGTAGCAGGCGGAAAACAATATATTGGAAAGCTCATGAAAAATTGTTGGTAAGTTTTCATGGAAAGTTAAGCGTCGGTGCTCAAACTTCAACTCCCACAATGCACCCTGTTTTTACGTCAACGCCAAGCGACAAAGTAACCGTCCACAAAATACACAAAAGTCTTCACAACCCCAACTTCAACGATTTGTTCTGGGGTCACGTTCCTGAAAGTAATAGTAGTAGTACGCCTTTAAATGCTTGTATTGATAAGCCTCATGTTTTCTCTAGGTGTTTCTTGAGGAAGAAAATGCATATTGTCCTCTTTTAAATTTCGCGCTGAACGCTCCGCCTGTAATTGGCATGCTAAGTTGTTAGCTAAAGCCATGTAACGTCAGATGGGGCACTAAAGTACAGGGGAGTCATCTCCATGAATGTCTTGAGATTGTATTGTCTTTAAAAATGGAAGCAACGGACATCGGAAACAAAGAGGAGGGGAAGATCTGGCATAGAAAACCTACAGCGGGGCGGAGGTACTTTGATTGATTTTCTTTTCTTTTCGAAGGATACCTGTTTGCTGCGTTCAGTTCCCAAACAGAAGTTACAGGATGCTTCTTTTGGGCTGAGTATTTTTAGTTGAATAGTTTAGCCATTTTTATCTGCTCCACAGATGTGTGTATATATAAATATATATATATATCTTTGTTGTTTTTATTTTGATACACTATCACTATTATAATACCTCTAAACAATTAAATATGTGCTGGGCATACTACCACCAACAGAGGCAGAATAAGGGATCATCAGGTGGTTCATGAATGCACCACTGCAGCAGGAAACGGTTTTTTTATTTTGAAAAAAATTGTTTAGCCATTGATTTACCTGAATGACTCATTTAGATATCTTTCTTTTTAACCTTCAGTTAATTCCTAATAATGTACATATTTTTCTCCCTCAGTGTGTTGGTGACAGTGGTCCGCACAGCTCATCAGGCCAAGACTGTGCGTTTCCTCCATGTTGCCTTTGACACCACTGGGGACACCTTCCTGGCTGGAGATCACCATGGAAACATCTATGTCTTTGACATCAGCAGAAACAGGTAACTGAACTCTGAATGCAAACTATTTTGAGAAATACCACAAAAAAACAAAAGCCATAAATGTCCATCTAGTTTCTGAGTTGTCTTTCTGTTACATTTTCCTTTCTACATGGTAATGTTACAGATTCAGTAGTAAATGTTTTAAGTTAAAAATTGCCTCTAAGTATGAAATCTTTGTACCTTAAACCTTATATGACCTTGTATGATTCTTATGGATAGGTTTCGCCTGGTGCAGAAGACAGGACAGGCCTGCACTGCACTTACATTCAGCCTCCGCAGGACCACAGAGTTCCTTGTGGCTTTGGCTGACTACACTATCAAATGCTTTGATAAAGGTAGGATGGACCCATCCACGTAACTGAATTTTAAAATGTTTGAATGCCTTTTCTCCAAAGCGTTTTTTTTGTGTCAATGCAAAGTCTGGAACATGTATGTCGTGAGCTCATGTTACACACCACTTAAATTGCCAATACCGTTTTGCCTCTCCTCTTTGGTTTGACGTTTCTTTATGTAGACACAAAACAGTTGGTGAGTTGGATGCGAGGTCATGAAGGAGCAGTTTCATCCATCTCTGTGCACAGCTCTGGGCGCTATGCTATCACCACGTCCTCAGACACGGCCCAGCTCTGGGACCTGGACACCTTCCAGAGGAAGAGGAAGCTTAACATTAGGCAGACTGTTGGCATTCAGAGGGTAAACATGTTGAACTAATGCTTTTTGATTGCTCAGCCATTTTTTTAATTGAATTCTTTATTTTGAACTCCTATATGTCTGTTAAAAGTCTGTTTAAACTTCCCCCCTTTTTAAAATTCTTTTTTGACTATTTTTGCTTGTTTTTACTTTCGTTTCAGGTGTTCTTCCTGCCTCTCAGCAACACCATCCTCAGCTGTTTCAGTGATGACTCCATCTTCGCGTGGGAGAGTGACACACTTTTCTGCAAGTACCAGCTACCTGTTCCTGACAGTGGGCCCAGGATCTCCTACAAGGCCTTTGCTGTCACGCGGTCAGTCTCTCACATTGCAGTCACCCCGTAGCTTAAGGACAGCCTTTCTGTATTATCTGTGGGACTTTGACATTTCTCAACATTTGATTATCATAGCATGTGACAATGTCAATAAAAGTAGTCTTTTGTTCTTTCAGTGATGGCAAAAGCCTCGTAGCAGGGGGTCGCTCCAACCTGTTGCACCTGTGGTGTCTGGACAGCCAACAGCTGGTCAGAGTGATACAGATGCCCTGTCAAGTTCGAACTGTTAGACAGCTGGAATTCCTGCCTGACAACTTTGATGGAGGAGCCAGCCAGGTAAAGGGACAGTAGTAAGACTAAGGGATCTTTTTTTGTTTTAATGGCCAGACTTTTTCCCACTGTTAGAATTTCATATGTAAAAGCCGCCACATGTCTTTTGATCCATGTGTGAATGCGAATGTCAATAAGCTTTGCTTCTTAGAAGCAGCAACAATATGAGATGGATTAGTTCAAAGCTTTGCTTTTGGTTTGCTTTTGGTTTTTGGTTCATGGTGACGTATTGAATTGAGACAGATAGATGTGATGTGACAGAAAGGTATCTTCGACATGCAAAATGCCTTGAATTTCTGCACAGCCTTTAGACTGCTTATGAATTCACAGTGGCCAGATTCTTCATTTTTGTTTGTTTCTCCACAGACGCTTGGCGTGCTGAGTCAGGATGGGGTAATGCGCTTCATCAACATTCACACCTGTAAACTTCTCTTCCACATGGGTTCCCATGATGACGCCATTTCCGCAGTGGCAGTCAGCCCCAATGGCCGACATATCGTAGCCATCATGGACAACGGGAGCATTAACATCTACAGTGTCCAGAGTCTCACACAGGAATTAAACAAGGTGAGGGAGTGTTGGACAAAATGTGGTGATCTCATTTGTTGGTGTGTGGTTTTTGTGTTCATGTTGCCTATCTGTCCATCTATCTGATCATATCTGCAGCCGCCCTCGTCCCAGGTGGCTATAGTTTCTGGTGGTGAAGCGGATCGGGACCTCTCAAATCTAAAAATGAAGGTTAGGTCTGAGGCAGTTCACAGACCAGCTAAAAGCTCTGGCAGAAGAACGCAGGTGAAGATTCTCAGACCACCTGCATCATCTTCTGCTGAGGATAAAGAGGTGGGACATAAAGTGCCCTCATATTTTCTCTAAAACTTTCTTCATTTTGATTTATATCCTTAATTGTTGGCACTTTTTGTTATAAGGCTGTGTAACCTGATGGTGTATAATGTTCATGCCTTTTCTGTTAAAGAATGAACTTCCTGCTGGTCTGAATAAGAAGAGATTGGTGGCTCTGCTTAAAGCTTTTGGAGAATATCCAGCAAAATATAGGTGAGCATCACCCTCAACGAAGGAACTTGACAACTAAATATTTAATCGTGTCAGGGTTTAAAGGATGGTTCTCTGTTTCCTTGTTGCAGGATGTTCGTGTGGCGGTCTTTGCTGTGCCTCCCAGAGAACCACGCAGCATACAGCAGTCTGACCGACAAAGGTCTGCATTCTGCCTTCCTCACTCTGCATGATAAGTACCCCATCAAGAGCCACAAGCTGCAGAGAGGACTGCAGAGGTACTCTGCACACACAGAAACACACACATGGAATTGTAATAGTTCCTTTAGAACATTTTGATCACAAACTTTTCCCCCACCCCCTCTCTTCTGACCCTACTCTTTCCTGTCACATCTCTCATTTTTTTCCTTTTTCCTTCTCCACAGGGTTTTGTCTGCTTTGGCTCACTGGGCAGCCATCTTTGGAGAGGTGGAATATCTCCCGTTGGTAGCCTTTCCTTTCGTCAAGCTCTTCCAGAACAATCCGATGCTGTGCTTTGAAGTAGTGGCCACTCTCATCGGTACTTTCTGGTCCTCGCATTTCAAAACACACCAGCAGTCTCAGCATTCTGTTCGTCTGAGCTGCAGTTTCAGTGTCGTTATTACAGATCGCTACGAAGGGACTACTACTTTGTTTTCATGTATCGGATATCACTTTGGTTATATGTGTGCCATCAAAGCCCAGAGATGGGAAAATTGAGTCATTTTGAATCCAAATGTATGCATCTGAAAGTCAGCCAGCGCCTCATCAGTGACATGAAGCATTTCCTGGGATCACCTCTGACTCAATGTTTTATTTCCCTCAGTGAACTGGTGCCAACACTGGTTTGAGTATTTCCCCAACCCTCCTTTGAACATCCTGAGCATGGCAGAAAACGTTCTGGCTCATCACGACAAGGAGCTGCTGCAGCACCTGGTGGACTGCGGCATCACCTCGCAGGTGAGAGCTCTCTGAGAGAAGATGCGTGACGCCCTCACCGCCGCCATGTTCCCGTCTCCATGCTCAACTGGGTGTTCTGCCTCGCCCAGGTCTACGTGTGGTCCCTGCTGGAGACCCTGTTCTCAGAGGTCCTGACGCGTGACGAATGGCTCCGACTGTTCGACAACGTCTTCTCCAACCATCCGTCCTTCCTGCTGGTGGCCTGCGTGGCCTACGTCATCTGCTGCCGGGAGCCTCTGCTCCTGTGCTCCCAGAAGCAGGACTTTGAGGTGCCTCCCCCTTTTCTCACCTCTCGACTCGTCTCCGTCTAACCACAGTCGCTTGATTTTCTTTTAAATCTCCTTTGTCTCCCCCTGAACTCGCGACCCTTTGGCCTCCTCCTCCACAGTACTTCTTTCACCACCGCAACAACCTAGACGTCGGGGCCATGATAAAGGAGGCTTACCGGCTCATGAGCAGCACGCCCGCAGACATCCATCCCAGGACTCTGCTCTCTGACTTCACAGCCCTCACCAGTGGCCAGTATCCTGTATTCAACCAGTACCCAGAATTCATAGTGGAATACCAGAGCAGAGAGAAGGAGAGAATACGACTGCAAGAGATGGAATATCTGCGTGAGAGGTGATCATAAATGAGAGCCAGAGGTTTATACTTATTTGAGTAGAAGTTGGTAAGACTTAAAGTGACTGGTGAGAGAAACCGCAATGTACACTAATGTGTGTGTGTGCCGCCTTCAGACAGGAAGTGTCGGCACTTCGTGCAGATTTTGTGCGTCGCCAAGCTGAAGAGGAAATCTATTTTACACAACAGGTAGAATCAGGAAGCCCTTCAAGCATAGGTGTTAATGTACTATGACGCTCAGCCTTACAGTTCACCAGCATTTACAAGAAACAAGCCCTTAAAATCTCTTGAGCTAGGATAAAGTGAACTAATTTGTGTTATTTTTACTGATGTGAACATAGGATTTGCTGCAGAAAGCAGAGGAGCAGCGCAGAGACATCCTGGCACAGGAGGAGGAAAAGCTAACGCAGCAGAGGGCAAAGTAAACAACCAAACAGTCTGACACATTCCAGGTTGAGTTCTGGCGTAAAACGTGCAGTTTGATTTAAAGAGGCGTTCGCCTCTGCTCCATCCAATTCAGGTTGGCGGCCATGAAGAGAGAGCTGAAAGTGAAGGAACTGCAGCTGCTGGATGCAACCAAGAGACGCTTCCTCAAACACCAGCAGGACCTGCGAGCCTCACAGATAAAAAGGCTAGACCAGGACATCAGCAGGAAGGTGAACCCCGGTGCCCGCTCCAATCAACACGCATGCCTCGGGCCACTTTGTCCCTCCATCCAAAAATGTTAATTTTTATGAATATATATAAGTATAAGTATATATATTTATATAAGTTGATACTTCAGGAGAAAATCAAATCACTGCCAAAACTTTTATTTTAGTTTAACTGTATATGATGACAAAAACAGTTACTTGTGTTTCCATAAGATGGCAGTATTGGCTTCTAATGCTGGAAATAATAGGAAAACTAGGGGAAGCCCTTATAAACAGAACTGAGCACTCAGAGACATTCTTATCGAAATTACCAGGTGTAAGACGGTTGGAATGTTCCAGATGCATTTTGAATTACTCCAAATTCAATAGAATCCGTGTAGGGTAACACTGAGCTGTGAAGGTGGTTACAAAGCTGATATTAAAGAATGCCATGGGCAGTTGGTTTTTTGTTTTTTCACCTCTTCAATCTGCTGCAGATGGATCTCCGGGAACAAGAGACAGCAGCAGCTGTCCAGGATCTGGAAGTGAGACAGATGGAGCTGGAAGTTCAAAGGAAACGGCTTGAGCAGGTGGCAAACGCCTACCCGAATCTTTTTTTTCTTTCTTATTGTACACCTTGATTACATTTGAGCTAATCTCACTAAAACACTTTGAGGTTCTGACAGCGCACAGATTTACAAGATACTCTCAAATCTGCACCGAGATTAATATCAGATGTGGAATTTTAACAGAAGAACTTGCTGTGTTTCCTGCACTCTGTTTTGAAAACCGAATATCATAACTGCTGGAAAACTAACAGCCGTGTGTGTGCTTGTGTGTTGTTGTTACACCCTTTGTAACAGCACTTGCTGAAGGAGCAGGAACGCGTAGAGCGGGCGGTTGAGGAGGAGGTGCGGCTGAAAATGAAGGAGGCAGAGAGAGTGGAGGAGGGCCGCCCAGAGCTGCTGCACAACACAGAGGCTGACATTCAGGTTTGTGATGCACCCCCCCAATGAATTATCCCTACTGTCATGTCACCACCACTACACAATAACCAGAAGTCTGCGTACTGCTCAGAGTTCTGATTATTGACATTTAAGACCTCCTTTAGGTTTCAAATGTCAATAAGTGCTAAATTCATCTCCAAAAACATGCACAAGCAGGCCCTGGAGGAGTCCCTGGCAGAGGCCTACCAGCTGGGCTTGGAGTCAGACTGGCAGAAGGAAGTGGTGGAGCGCCTGCAGCAGGTGGACGATGAGAAGGAGAGGAAGAGGGAGAGACTGACAGAGCTCCAACGGCAAACTGTGGCGGAGGAGCAGAGACTGGCCGACACCATGAGAGACGTGGCTGGAAGGAAGGTGAGAACAGCACCCTCGTCTTTGTGCACTTCTCTATCTTCTCTCGATTGACTTGTTTAGTGCACAGAATACCACAGAGTCGTCTTTTTGAGCCTTATGTCGCATTTCAGAACAGCTTTTGAATAGAAGGACTGTTGAATTGTTTAAATGTTCACATATGATGCCTGTTATTCCGTCAGATTGTTATCGCGCTTGTTTATTTTCAGTGGGATGAAGTGATGAGTGCCAGAGCCCAGTTACAGGAGCAGAGGCAGCCCTGGTCTTTAGCAGAAATGGGTATCACTGAACACACACCTCCTTCACACACATATCAGGGCCCATTCATCCGTAGATCTAATGTAATTTACTCTATCAGATGTGCAGAGACAAAGGGGAACACAGTCACTACATCAGACCGGAAGGGCTCCGGACAGAACTGCTTTTTCTGCTGGAACCAAAGCGGCCCCCCCGGCAGCCAGAGGCAGATCCGCCTCCACTCTGAGGCCGGCAGGGACCACCATGGTGTGTCTCAACAGCAGCTCGCCCTCAGAGAGCACATCCACCAACTGTGAGTCACTTCACTCGTTTAGGAACAGTCAAATGAATATTCTATTTATTGCTTTTGGGACGTTTCAGGGTTTGTTGTCCAGTGACAAATGTGGCACAATCTGTCCCAGACATCAGCCAATGTGGAGGGTTAACCGTCAGATTTGAAAAGCTCCTTCTGCAAATGAACAGTGGAAAATGATCATGTTTTTGTGTTGGCGTGTCGATAATCCTTTCTTTGCATCCCGTCAGTCTCTCTAGACCGAGGCCGAGCCCAGCTGGACAACAGCGAGAGACAGCTGCTGAAGGAAATCCGAGAACTGAGGCAGAAGCTGGCGGCCAGATCAAAAGAGAGCCGCTCGACCTCCTCACCGTCTGTCCACACGCTGTCCTCCGTCTCCCAGTGACCACAAGCTGCCTCTCTGACACCACGCTGCCAGGGAAGCATATTCTCGTCTCGAACTCTGCACAGCGCAACAAAAACAGTGACTCAGACTGTGGAGCAGACTCTTGTATATTGAGCGCTGTTTTGGTACTCGCAGGCCATCCGTCCTCCATGTCAAACCCCACATATTTTAAATGACCGCCACCACCGCCCCCTGTTCACTCTGAATACCACAGAACAGGCTCATCATTTGGGTTTCCCGCCATGCTTAATGTGGTGTCTACAGGAATAATCCCAGGTTTAGGTCACACTGAGAGTCAGTTCTCGATTATATTACAATTTAATCAGTGGATAAACTGATGAACGCAAGCCCTTCTGACTGAAGCACAGTCCAGAGGAAGTCTTTGTGCCTTCTGCCACAAACAGAGCATCACCTCTCTTTTGTTTAATGCCAACAGTGTCTTTGTTGTATTTTCTGTTTTTGATTCAGCCGATTTTATCTTGTTTTTATCTCTTAGGTGAAACTAACTGAAAAGCCCTGGTTGTTTCATTGAGTTTTGGAGTTTTGCATTCAGATTTTTTAAAGTGATTGAAACCTACAGGTGTGTTTTCTGTTTATAGAATAAAGATCAGAGCGTGGTTTAATTTGCACTGCTGATGCCACAAAGATTTTCATATCTCATATGGTGGGTTGGTCTTAATTTTGATTATTTTTTATTTTCCTTTGTTTTTGTTTTTTTAGACGTTTCTTCATTTAATTGAAACAGAATCCCATACGTTCTGCTTTCTGGGCCTTCCAAGCGGCTCTGGCGCGTCTGAGAAACGTACTTGACAAATTTTTACAACTTAGTCTGGCACTGATCAGGATAGAAAGACGCACAGACATGTTGAGCAAAGGAAGGGCTGCAAGTTTTCTGTTAGAGGATTCATGAAATGACAGATTAAGGGGGGAGGATACAAAAAGAAAAGGTCCTGTGCAGCCAGGTGGATGAAGTCTGACCACACCCACCAATTCAGGCCCACAACGCTCATTCATGTGGAGATAGATCTATGAAACCGCTTTTTAACATGCACTTTTTGGACCGTAAAGATAAAAATCTGTACCAGCTAACCCTTGGTTAAAGTCTGGAATGTCTTTTAGTCTGAAATGGAGTATGATCCTCTTAAAGCTTAAAGCAACTCGGCTGTAATATAGTACTCACCATCTCTCTGACCTGTTTTCAGAACACACAAAAAATGTCTCCTTTTTTTTTTTTTTATATGCTTCATAGGATTGAGGGGGGTCTGTTTTTTGTTTTGTTTTTTCAAATTAGTACGTGAAACCTTTAAGCGTGCAGATCAGCTCGGGGCCCGAATTAAAACTGAAATCCCTGAAACGAATCGGTGTCTGTGTGTCTCTGCTCCCATCCACTCTGTCTGGGTGCGCCTGATTCGGGCCCGGTGGGCAGCCAGGTGTTGTGTGACAGGAGCCAAGGTGACAGCCATCTCCATTCCTGTCACTCATCTGCCTCCACCTGTCCACCCATCTTTTATCTGTGCTCCCGGGCCCGAACAGAGAAGAGTACAATAAGTGCACCGAGCTGAGAAGTATCGTCACCGATCTAGTTAAACTAAATCATGAGTGTGTGTAATTAACAATGCAGAGCCATGTCTGAAGGCCGGAATTCCTCGAATAGCTCTTCGTATTTACAGGCAACACAGCTGCTTCAGAGTTCTCAGCCTTGAGTAAATGTATTTGCGTCTTTCGACGTGTCGTGGCGTGCATTTCTTTTCTCTTCACAAACTGAATGAAGCGTGTGGAAGTCTGCGGGCCTAATTATGAAATGAACCTCACACTCATTCTCACCTGTCACATCCCATCACGTGTGAAGAAACCTCTCCGCTTAGAGGGGAGGCGGACCTTTCTGCTTGTTTAAAATCAGCAGATATCTCAGACAGAGCACACACACCTCTAGCGTCTGTGGCTGAAGTCAAATACTCCATACATAACCTTTTGGGATTCTAAACTAACTAAACTTGTTGATTTGTATCCATTCAGCATGGATGTACCTGACAGCGGGCGTGCACTGTGGTACAGGACGTCCAGGCCTTTGGGGAAGGTGAGGCGGCGGGTTCTGGACCTCCGCATCCCCTCCTCCTCTTACTGTGACTTTGTGGTCAGCGGACGCAGACTGGACCTCAGCCACAACGAAAGCGCCCGGCTCGCCGTGGACTGCTTACTCAACCGGGATTTGGAGGGATACGAGAGGGTGCTGAAGGCGGACGGAGAAGTGGACTTCCTGTCCCAGACGGAAAAGAGTTACATCTTGGAAAACGGGACAGATGTTAACACAGGTTCCACACGTTTGTTGATGCATTTCTGAATGCGATATTCTACTCATCTTCCTTCTGTGCCGGAAAACACAAACATCTAACAGACCGAGGGCACTGATTTATGTTTCTTCTTTTCGTTTTATGGCCCATAGCCTTACACTAGTGTGTGCTTTGTGCAGATGGAGCAGGAGAACCGGATGAGGAGGACAAAGACTTTGAAAGTCTGTCTGCTGACGGCCGCTGCTCTGCACCGTCAGCGGTCACTGACTCCACGGTGGACTGTTTGGACCAGAGTGGCCCCAAAGGTGCTCTTGCATTAGAAAAGTCAGATTAGAACATTTCAAATGAGAGGAAAACTCTAATTTGCTGCTTTCTAATGAGCTTTTTCTTTTCTTTTCTTTTTTCTGGCAGATGTGAAATGGATCCCTGGGAGCGCAGACGATCAGAGCATTGGGGTTTTCTTCCAGTCGGACAGCAGGGCGGCGGGCATGAAGGACCTGCTCAGACAGCTCATCAGAAAGGCCAACACGGCACGTAATGCCTTATCCAAATGTCTGGACACACGCTGATCTGTGCCGACCCCTGCCTTTAGCGGCACGCCGCTGACTTGAGCGTGGGGCTGTGTTTAGGCCCTGGCCATCGTGATGGACAGCTTCAGCGACGCGGAGCTGCTGTGCGATCTCCTGGAGGCCAGCAGGAAGAGAAACGTGTCCGTCCACCTGCTGCTGGACCACCAGGACCTGAACACGTTCGTCAGCATGTGGCAGGACCTGAAACTGGACGGCAAGAACTTCCCTGTGGGTAGCGTGGACTAAACTCCGGTAAAACAAACTTCAAAGCAATTATTTTTTTTAAAAGTATTGATTTGTTTCTTTTTGTGCGTGCAGAAGATGTCCGTGAGGAGCGTGCGTGGGCAGACGTACCGCGCAAAGACGGGCAGGAAGCTGACGGGTCAGATCGCACAGAGTTTCGTCATCACTGACTGGACGGAGGTGCTGACCGGCTCGTACAGGTGTGTCGTCACTGTGCGTGTGGGGGGGGGCATGGGGGGAAGAGGCAAGCCCCTCTTTCAGTTCTGCGGTTCCACTTGTCGGAATATAACTATAAAATCTTCATTTTGCATGAAGCGTGACAGATGGATCATTGTCTATTCAAAACTAAAACCAAAATGTAGAAGCTGTTTTGGAAAATGAGTTTGGATGATGAAAAAACAAATGACATGACATTTGGATGACTGGGGAAATGACTTTATGATGGTAGGATTGAGCCTCATAGTTTGAGCTCTGTTAGTTTACTTTAGTTTTGCTTAATTTGATGAAATATTAACCAACTTAACGTACGATTCGGTTGGTAATCCTGATAAAAGTGCTTCCTGCCTTTTGTAGAATCGCTGATGACCCCTGTGTTTGTGGTTGTCCCCTCAGCTTCACCTGGCTGTCCTGGCAGGTCCACCGGAGCGTGGCCGTGCTGCTGAGGGGCAGCTCCGTCACCCCCTTCCATCACGAGTTCCAGCGCCTCTACTCCGACTCCCAGCCCGTCCTGGGGTTCGCCGCTTTGGTCACTCCGCCGCAGACCCTTTGCCCGGCGTCCCGCGACGGCCGGGAGAGCGGCGCGGTCACCGGCCGGGGGCGATTCGACGAGTCCAAAACCGCCGCCCTCTGGACTTGGCTGGAAGAGGCGGAGGGCGTCGACGCAAATCCAGCAACGGCCGTTTGGGGCACCGGCCGGAGCGCATTGGCCTCGGGCCCTGAGAGGGACCCGCCGGCCGCTGGACCCGAGCTGCAGAGTGCCGAGAGGCCCGTTTCAGGGTCCAACCTGCTGGCTGAAAGGAGTCGTCGAGACCAGAGCCACCTCCTCTACCCTTCAACTCAACAGCAAATGCAACCAATAGCAAGCCACCGATTCCTTCATTACAGCCAAATTCAAACCAAAATCTTCTTCCAGGAACCCAGATGGCAAGATCAGTCTCAGAGGCCACTGTTTCACCCCCATTCTATCACCACCCCCCCCTACTCAGAGCCCCCGGCGGCAGCAGCTGGAGCCCATCTCAGGCCTCACCTGCAGGCGGACTCTAAGCCGTTCCCGCCAGGCGGGAGGCTCCAAATCCACCAACTGCCCACCAGCTACCAGCAGACGAACTGCCCTCCCTGGCTAAATCGGACCCCCCAAAGCCACCAGGCAGCAGGGCCCGGGGCGGTGGCTCGGTACAACTCCTTCGGTGGCAGCGGCGCGAGGGAGGGGCTGGACTGGAGGAGCCCTCAGAGGAGCCTCCAGAGCAGCAGGAATATGGCCCAGAGAGGCACCGCAGGCCTGTTTTAGGACGGGAACGTCTGAGGGGACGTGGTGGGTAACTGAATTTCTGCTCAAGTCAAAGTCAAATGGAGAAACATGAAAGCTACAGTGCAACAGTCTGTAATCAGAAAAAAATAATACAAGTCAGAGAAAGGCCTGTTAAAAATAGTTGCTTTTTTTTCTTTTTTAAACATGGTTTGTTCTGTAACCCACTCAATTTTCCTCTTGTTACTTTTATAAACCATTTTTCATAGCTAATCCAAAGGAAAGAAATGTTTTGTGACAGGAGCAGGTGTTCATGTAACTGACTGCAGCAGCACTAGTGTGTAAAATGTCTTTTAAACGGCATTAAAATGTTACAGAGTACTGGGTAGCTTGCATTAAGATTTTTATAACATAACTAACATTGTACATCCTGTTTGTGTCACAGACATTTGTAGCTTAAATACAAAAAAAAATAACCATCCAGCCAAACTTGGCCACAATGTAGAGCACAGCTAAAGCAGAAACCTGCTCACTCTTAACCAAGATCTTGTTCAATTTCTATATAAAAAAAGTTAGCAATGATGTAGCGTTAATAATGAAAAAAACAAGTAGAAAATTACATTCATTAATAAAAAACCTGAAAGAATTTGAACAAAAACCAGTATGGGAGAGCAGTTTTAAAGCGGAACACAGTCCCAGCCATAGCACACCTTTTACACAGTCTGAAATAAACTGAATGTTAGATTGCCTGTACACAATCATACACTGGACCCTTCCCTACTCACACTTCACAAACACGCTACATTCCCTGTCCGAGTCAGTGGGACCTGCTGGGTGCTCGGTCCGTCTCCAACACGCCAGTGAGCAGGACCTTGTTCCACCAGCGCTCTGTGAAGCTCTGCAAACACACGCTGAGCAGGCTCTCCCCGTCCTGGCTGTCCTCCCTCATCTTCTCCGGGACCAGGTCCTCCGACATCACCTGGGGGATCAGACCGGGGGGGAGATACTGAGCACAGGTGAAGCCTCCGAGCGTCTTTGAGTGTTTTTCAGGGAGTCCCCACCTCAGTTAGAGCCTGCAGCGTGGTCTCTTTGGGATTCAGGCGCTGTAAGGCCTCCTCTGTCTCCTGCAGGGCCTTCTCACTGCGCCGCAACACAAACGAGGACTGCTGCTGCCGAAGAGCAGCCAGAAGAAGTCTGTTGGGGGGGGCGGAAGAAATTAGTTGGGTTTTTTTTTTTTAAACACATAATGTCCGAGTACATCTTCAATGATTCATCCAAAAGCTGATATGCGTTTTCCAGCATGTTGAGAAAGAAAAAAAACATCAATTGGCTTCCAGATACGTCTGCACATCAGACCTGTGGGAAACATTTGAATACAAGATATGCCTCTCTTACTTCCTGGCAAATGGGTGGTGTTCTTTTAGCCGTGCACACGTGGCTGTTGCAGACGGGGTGTAAACAAAGCGGCTCCAGTAACGGGTTGTACCTTGTCCTGATGAAGCAGATGCAAGCTTTGAGCCAAAGCTGGTCCTCTCCGAGCGCTCCCGCCTCCTCTGTTTGCTCCGCCTCCTCTGGTTTCTCCGCCTCTACTTCTACAAGCTGCTGTGCCGATTCTAGCCGAAAGATGGAGGAGGAAGAGGAGCGGGCCATCTTAGAAATCGCCTTGCTGGTGCAAAAACCACAATCTGGTTCTTGTGCAATACTTTCTATACACTTTATAAAAATGGGAGGGAAAAAAAACGGGATGGCTCAAACTCCCGAACAGAAATAAAAAAACGGCGGCGTTAAAACGGGAAGCTAAGCTGACCGTACCCGTGTCCGAGCGGCTGCTCAGCAGCTGGACACAGATGTGTCCCAGGCTGAGCCAGTGCCAGGGGTGGAAGGGCAGCAGGCTGCACAGCTGCTGCAGACACAACATCTGGGATCCCAGGGCCCCAAAATGCTGGTAGATGCTGACCTACAGAAAGGGTGTGGGTTTCAGTTCAGAGACAGTCCCCTCCACCAACAAAGGGATTTAGACTATTAACATAGGAGACGTGAGTATGCGTGTGGGGTTTTCTGGCTCACACTGACCTTAAGCAGCAGGAGGCTGCTCAGGTGAGAGGTGTTGGAGGCTTCTTTACTCTGGAGAGAGATGAAGTACATGTCACCATCAACAGAGGTGTGGCCAGTTTGTGCTTCCAGGGATGTCGCATGCTATTGTAATCGGGGACTAAAAATGGGACATCGGGCATAAATAAATACGACAGATCTGGACATTTGGCTCGTCTCCCTTCGGTGTGACAATGCCAGCAGGTTCGGGCATCTAAATGAGTTAACTCTGGACCTACCAGTACACCTGCCAGGTCCAGTGCCTCCTCCCTCTGTCCCAGCTTGGTGCAGCATCGAGCCTTTCCCTCCAGGACGTCTCGTCTGATGCTCAGGTTGTTGTCGGCGATCCACTCCAGGCAGCTGCTGTACGCCTCCAGGGCTCTCTGAACCACACAGGCAGACATGGGAAGAGAAGTTTAAACATCGTGCCCGTGGCCGCGAGCATCTGTTACTGTCACATTCATAGCAGAAGGGGGAAAAACAAGGGCCGAGAACGAGCCTGACATAAAACCCACTGCTTATTTCGGATGGTCCCGGTAGTGGTTACCTGATAGTCGCCTTGTCTCATAAACAGGTCCCCCCTAAACTTGTACACTTTCTGTTTCTCTAAAGAATCCTCGGCTTGGAGGGCACTGCTCTCACAAAACCACTGTGTGGAGGGACAAGAGGAGAAAAAATTAACTAAAAAGGCACAATTAATACAGAGTCAAAAGACAACACAAGGGAATATAACGGAAGATATACGACACACTGAGCAGACACTTAATAAACCACCTTTGTTTTCCCATGAAACCAGAGGTTTTTCAATAAAGAGAAGAAAGAGCCTTTTTTCTCCAGATTCATCAAGTCAAGATGAGGCTGTGGAAAACTAAACACAGCGTGCCCAGTGGCACGTTATGTTCCTGCTATTGAGCAGCCTCCAGGACCTGGGAACTTTTATTCAAATGACTAGATTCCACAAGATGTGTTATGTGTGGTGCAGAGCATGAGAGCATAACCAGATAGTACTGGAGTCCAAAAAACCCCTCATCTGGTAATGGGGAGGGGGGGCACTACACCTGCGTAGAGGTTAAAAAGAATTAAATCATATCTAGTTCAGTCTGGGGGGAAAAAGACTCAATTAATTGAAGCTTCCAGAAAAAGGACTCGTTGTATAAAAGGATGTAGCTCCCAAACCCCGAATATTTTATACAACAGCTGGAATTCGGATGTTTGCATGAATAACTTCCACATCAGCACAGCTCCACTAACTGATGCAGCTGTGCTTCCGCCGGGGCGTCTCACCTCTGGCTCACACAGTTTGGCGTCGTAAGAACACAGAGACACACACACTCGGTCTCTGGCCTCCGAAAACACCGTGTCGTCAAACGTGCTGCCGAATATCTCCATCCGGAACCGAAATCTATCACTGACCAGTCAGTGTTACCGGTGACAGAGTCCAAGCTCCAACCTCCTGCTTTGACATCCGTCTCTGTTGCACGATCCCTCATTAAGAACCGTGTTTGCAAAACAGTGTTCTGTTTCTAAGGTTCCGGGTAGAAAGGTTCCGGCTAATGACGGAAAAACGATTTCGGCCTCATTTACTTTTAATGGTTGTTGCAGACATGACATTAACAATACACCCCAATGAGATTAAAAACAAACACTGAAAGCAACAAAAAAAGAAAAAAGAATCACAATCAAAAGCTTTTAGAGTAAATGTTTTCAAGAGGAAAGTTATCTTAAATATGTGTAAATACAGGAAAGAATCTACTTTTTTTAAGGGAATAGATGGAATTCATCATACTATAGAATAGTCCACTAGAATGGAGAAAAGAAGACGTCAGAAAAAAAGTAATAAAATTACAAATATGTGACGGAATCCAAGATTCTCAGAATCTCAATATGTCACGTGGGGGAAAAAAAGGATAATATGATTAAACATAATTGAACCTTCACCTCAGATATACGCTTGAAACACATTTTATGTTAAAAATCAATATACACTACAGACTCCTGCAAAACAACACAAAAAAACTTGAACATACATATTTTCCCTTTTATTTTCGCTTTTCACAGAGGAAATTATAAGCCTCAAAGTCTGACTTCTTGACCC